TGTGTAGGCTAGTAACAATACAGGTTTAACACAGATTAGGAGCAGATATAAATGTTACACCCCTGTCTTTGTTATGGGCTAATACTAGTAATTGAAGGGTCCACACCTATAGTAACATGACATATTTTTTGGTTAATTCAGTTTATATCTTAGAGGGATAGCAATGTCCACAACTCAGAGGGTGACATTGTTTTGGTGTCCAGTCCACACATCAGAGGGAGACATTGTTTTGGTGTCCAGTCCACACCTCAGAGGGTAACATTGTTTTGGTTTCCAGTCCACTCCTTAGAGTGTGACATTGTGTTGGTGTCCAGTCCACACCACAGAGGGTGACATTGTTTCGGTGTCCAGTCCACACCACAGAGGGTGACATTGTTTTCGTGTCCAGTCCACACATCAGAGGGCGACATTGTTTTGGTTTCCAGTCCACTACTCAGAGGGTGACATTGATTTGGTGTCCAGTCCACGCCTCAGAGGGTGACATTGTTTCGGTGTCCAGTCCACACCACAGAGGGTGACATTGTTTTTGTGTCCAGTCCACACATCAGGGGGTGACTTTGTTTTGGTGTCCAGTCCACACCTCAGAGGGTGACATTGTTTTGGTTTCCAGTCCACTACTTAGAGTGTGACATTGTTTTGATGTCTAGTCAACACCTCAGGGGGTGACATTGTTTTGGTGTCCAGTCTGCACCTCAGAGAGTGACATTGATTCAATGTCCAGTCCAGACAATTGAGGGGTGACATTTGTTTTGGTGTCCAGTTCACATTGTAGAGAGTGACATTTTTTTATGTATGTGCATATTCTATCATTTGATAACTTATTATATTGAAAAATGGTTTTCTAGAAAATGTAATGTGTAATAAATAGATAAAGGATTTATTGACATGAGACAAATACAAGGTATATTTAGATGTCCTGTTTATGATAATTCTCGGCTGCTTTATCTGTAGGAAAATAAGTTAGTGAGGACCTCAGACTGTTCATGATGATTAATCTGGACACACTACATTATTGTACTTCCTAACAGATGCCCGTTGGGACTGTCCCTGTGAGCCTAGACTTAAGTTACATTTATTTAGATGTTACGTGATGTCTATTTCAGTTTTCATTTTCAACAAGTGTCTGTTTCACGCAAGGTTGAGTCATAGCTGTAACACACTATAACTGGGACAAATTCAATTGGGTTTCACGCAGTTCAGCTGCTCAGAATCATCTAATATCAAGATCAGGTTTTATCATTAAGTATTTCAAGTATAAGGATGACTTTTCTGAAGAAAATTTGACTCGCCCTTCATTTTAAAAACAAAAAAAATGGCCAGCCACTATATGACATTAGAGCTAGATGTACGTGATTAACTGAGGGTACACAAGGATGCAAATTGATGTTACAGACTGTTAAAGTAGTAATAATGCGATAGATCACTGGAATTTGTGTTTACAAAATGTTAAGGTCTATTTTGTAGTAGGTGTTTCCGCATAGCAGTTGATCATGATCTGGCTGTAGCTTGACGCCCACCTACATCTCAGATATCTTATACTACATCAATACTCTACTGGTATGAAATCATATCCTTAAAAAATGGAGTATCTAGTATACAGTATACTAGTATATAAATGCAGGCTGTGTTATACAGATGTTAAGTCATATTAGAGACTTATATATCAAGTAGTTAAAAGTGTATCTGTAGTTGATATACAAAGGGAATCTTATTCAAAAATGTTTTTTTAAATAAGATGTTTTTATTGCTATTGTTTTTGCCAACTTGAGTCTAATATTTGTGTAAATCCTAGCTTTGATGAGACATAGGACTTGTTCTGATAAATAAATGATATCCTATTGTAAATACTGTGCTATTTCCTCTCCTGAAGAATTCCATACTATGACTACTGTAAAATGACTATGATGAATGTTAACTAAAAATAATATTGAGAGAAACAGTGTAAGGAAGCACATACCCTTAACTCTAGCAAAATAAATGATAGAAAAACAGTGTAGGATAGCATATACCCTTAACTCGACTAAAATAACAGAAAAACAGTGTAAGGTAGCATATACCATTAACAATACAAAAATAATAGAAAAACAGTGTAAGGTACCATATACCCTTAATTCTAGCAAAAAGAAAAGAAAAACAGTGTAAGGTAGCATATAACCTTAACTCTAGCAAAAAGAAAAGAAAAACAGTGTAAGGTAGCATATAACCTTAACACTTACACAAATTACAGGAAAATCAGTAAAACTTTAGTAGCATAGCCTAAACTAAAACATGAATATAGGAAAACAGTATAAAATAGACTTAAACTCTAATTTAAATTACAGGACAAAACAGTAAGGAAAACATTAAAAGGAGAAAAGTTCAAATCAACTGTATTTGTTGGTAATTTTGTATTTCTGAAGGAGGAGGGACAATTTAATAATGTATAGTAGTGGGTAAAATTGTTTCAGAAAGAGGAACGACCATTAACTTTGCAATAGAAGTGTGTAAGGTTGTGTTTCAGAAAGACGAAATACCATTAAATTTGCTAAAGTAGTGGGTATGGTTGTGTTCAAAAAGAGGGAGGTCCATTAAATTTACAATAGCATAGTGGTTAAAGTTGTTTTAGAAAGAGAAAAGGACCATTATATTTGCTATAGTAGTTAAAGTTGTTTTAGAAAGAGAAAGGACCATTATATTTGCTATAGTAGTGGGTAAGGTTGTGTTTCAGAAAGAGGAATTAGTTAAAAGTCCATTAAATCTGCTGTAGTAATTAATAGGTAAGCTTGTCCATCTTCCTCACATTTTACAGCATTTAAGCATGCTGAAATACAATATCCAGCGAAAATGAGGGCATGGTATTTTTGTCATCAAATATACGGATGATTAAAGACAATTCATACTTTAGCCTGTGGTTGTAATTGATAATTGTACTAGATTTGCCCATGGGATTGATTCCGCATTGGTTTTGCCTTTGGGAAGCCAGATTTAGGTGATGAATTGGTTAGATTATAGAGAGAATAGTGGAATAGCCCCAGGCTATAAACATACACCTTGTACTTGTCAATCAGAGAGAAAAAAATAATCTGAGGAAGTACCATACAGTTTCAAGTTTCTACAGAAACACCCATTATAAAATGAGTAAATGAGGAACAGAGATTTTATTATGATCATGTAGTGGCTGAAATGTGCAGAAATGAAGGCGCTGGATAGGAAATAGGAAATTATTGTCCAAACACAATTATTTTTGGAATGAAATAACTATTTATCAAATCGATCCATAACATGTGTAGTATGTATTTATATTTCATTTAATAAAACTATTGGCTATATGGAGAGACCTTGGAGATTTAAGTGTTGTAAAACAGACAGGAATTATTCATCACTGTGGTTACTCCAAGTGTGAAATTGCACAAGACAGAATAGATGTTACTGTGTTGCCAATAAATTATAAATGATCTACCTTTAATTATACCCCCAATTGGTACCCCAAATTCAAGAGACGGTTACATAGTCAAGATCGTTCTCGAACAGAATATTATTTCTGTGCTCAACGGAAATTATTGTGGTAGAAATGGAAAATTTGTGCTTTTGTGAAAACCGAAGTCTTAGCTGATACAACTTCACTGGTGATGAATAATAAATGACCAGAGTTAATTATCCTCCCTTTGGGCACCCCAATCGGCGGCAATGATCGGGGATCAATACAGGCATTCTCCTGCCCGGCAGGCGGACTTTTCAAATTTTGGTAGCCTATTGATCTAGTAACATGACGTTAGGTACGAGCCATAAGAGAGACCCATGTTTGTTTGGGATGGTGATTCTTTTATCTCGCTAAGATATGTGTGACAAGATGTATAATGGGACAGTGATACAACAATTTATTTCGTACAATAACTTGAAAATTTAACGGAGCGATTCGAATGTAGGTGGAGGTGCTATTTAATGCCATATCATGAATTGACACTTGTTTCCAAATTTTGACAATGTTTTGCGAGTGGAGGGATTTTAAGTGTGCGTGTTTGCCGAGGATTTTCCAACCGAAAAATCTCAAGTTTTTCACACAGGTAAGTTTGAATGAAATCACTGTCGCTGTCATAAACTGTCCTTTTGTTGCGACACACTTCTACCGTAGGCAAAGGTAGATATCGTGAATCTGTGTGTGATGACACTGGCTGATCTGTAAAGAAATGCTGTAAGAGGGCAGTCTGAGGTCTTCGGAGAACTGTTCCCAAGATTTCATAAGATTACTACATTTATGTACCTAAGTCTAAAAATCACATGGATTTATTTGAATCGGGAAGGACTGGGACATTGTATATGTAAACAGCTGTTGACTACTGCAATCCATAGTCCCACACACACATGTGTGTGTGTGGAGAGAGATGACATCTTGTATTGTCACTTTTATGTCTACACTATGATTTACTCTGAGGTGGTCTGTCAGATCTGGATCCCTAGTTTATTTAATTAAGAAATAAAGAAATGCATGACCAATCACATGTTATTTAAAGCAACTGTTCTTCCTCATCAGCGCTCTCTCTGTGGGGGGGTTGTCACAGTGTCACCAAGGATAAACATTGGCAGATAAAACACTACAGACCATTTTAATTCTATATCTGCTTTTAACTTCAATTAAGATATAAACTAATTTAAAATATTAGAAATATATTGGACTATTAATGTTCAAAATAAAGTACCAATATCAAGTTGAGTTGTTGATAACAGTATTTCTGATGTGATTTTTGAGGTGTAAAATATAGTCAAGGAAGTTTTCAATTACGGTATCAGTCTCTACTGATTATAATATATATATGACTATTTATGTAGGTATTTACCAAAAATATACTAAGTCTTAATTATAGCATGGTTATATGGTCAAAGCATGCCTGTTGTTCCTATGTACAGGTGCTTCTTATTTAGGACAAGTTGTCTTTTATGATGCTGTTCACACAAGAAATGTTCTTAATGAATAAGACAGTCGTCACACACAGGTTGTCACATAAGGCAGTTGACATTAGCAGTTTTCTTCAAATTTTTTATTTTTTTTCACCGAGACAACTTGGCAAGCAGAAAATGATAATACAAGAATTGTAAAAATCAGTTGACTATATCATTCACAATCTGAAAAATTCGGAAACCAACATAAGACAACAGAAATGTTTTTATTCAAACATCATATTAATGTCACGAAATCTTGCAAGTGTTCTTACAGTATTTACATACAAACTTGTGTCGTCTATTCAAAACCAGATACTTTTCTTAAATTTGGACAGTGTACAGGTAAATAAACAAGTTTTATAATGCCCGAGGCTTGTACCTGTAAGATTGCTGTTTACTTCTGTCTCCATCCATTCTGTGTGCAGTGTACTGTTGATGACTAACGAGCAGGTTGTTTGTGGGAGGCGTATCGTTTCTATCGATTCCGATCATTATTTGACCAAAACATTATGCTGGTGGAGGAAGTAGCAAGATTTGTTTATTTCACTGCCTCTGTTATGCAATAGTTTTCCAGACTTGATGGGAATTGACTCACCAATGTAACAACAGAGGCTGAGAACCTACAATAAAATTAAAATAAATGTCAGAAATGCTGGTCCTGGGATTGATTAGCTGGCTCCTATGGGCCCTTGGCTGATGCAATATTTACAAACACTCCCGTTTACGCTTTTCTCAAAAGTTTCCTGTGATCTTGCATTATCTACTGTAATTTAAAGGAAGGAGAAGGTTGACATGAAGGGGCACTGGGGAAGGTTCAGTGGGGGGAGGGGGGATTGTTGTTTTTATACAGTTTTGTTACTAACAGCTTGTATGATTTATGAAATTTATAATCATATTCAACCAGGTAAAAAATCATTCTTCAGAATCTCAGGCACAAAATGATAAAAGTTTTCATTTCATTGAAATTGTACTTTATAAAGATCACCTGAAAAGTATTATACACACATACTGTATAAATATGTTATGCTACACTTACTAAACTGTTTAGAAATGACTTTATAGAGAAAAAAAATGACAGAAACTGAAATCAATAATAAATGTACGTTTAAACTCCTGTGGTTTACATACAAAGGGTGCTGTGTGAGGTTCACCGTCCTCCAGTATCAATTTTTAATCCAAATGTCTTCATCACAATATGAATTACATGCTTTTTGCTTCCTCGTTTACTCTATAATAGGAAACGAAAGTGAAAGGTGGTGATTTCCATGTTTTGTTGTCCATTCATCTGTGATCACATGCTAACGATGAGTCATATTGTGTTAGTCATTGTGTACCGTCATTGGTTGATTGGATTAGCTCCCCTGTTTCTCTAAACATGGTCTATAAGGAAACGGCTAGGTCTTTTATGGGAGATTTGCCAAAATTTTCTTTGTTAAAAAAATCTTTTAATCAATCTGTGGGAATCATTTGATTAAATTAAAGATAGGACATATTTTAAAACAAATTACAAAACAATGTTAAGACAAATTCTATATATGCTTTATATATTTATTGATGCTTGTGTATCTCGTGAACTATTTATTTTTATGAATTGTATAGCATTTTAGTAACATATCACCCCTAGATGCATGTTATATACAGTAAAATCTCGCTTTTATTGCCGCCTCCCTTTATTTGCCACCTTACTTGCCACCAATATATATTTCACAATCCCCTTTTCTTATTTTCTTAATTGAGAATTCCTTAATTCCCCTCAATTTATCGCCAAATCCAATTATTTTGGACAAATAATGGCAGTATAACAAGGTTTTACTGTTTTTTATTATCATTTAATAAGAGATAATGGCCTAACACCTTACTACTATGGTAGTACTATGGTACATTTTCTTCAAGGTACAACACAACACATATGTTAAGTAAATCTTTTGGTTTCCAACAGAAAATTAATCTCTTACGGTTTATTTCATTTGGTCACTCAGAATAGAAAGGATATGAAAATGTCTTTGTGTTATTGGTTTGTTCCTTATAGGTTTGTGTTGAGACTTTGATCCTAGTTTTGGTGTCTGGATGTTTGGCGCGTAGCAGACAATTGCTTTTTTAAGGTAGCTATGTGTGGATGGCTACCAGTGTGTTTGTGTGAAGCAATGAAGTCAAGTCTCTGTGGTGAAATTTATAAATTGTCAGGGTAGCTTCACAGTTTGATAGATTACAGGAAGAGACGTGATGACTCATGCCGAGTGTCTTTGATCAGCTCAATTGGAATTCTGCAGCGGAGATATTTTTTCCGCAGCTTAACAATGTTCAAATAATTCGGCCTGGAATGAAATGTGATAAAGGAGCTAACAATGTTCTCTTGACAAATTAAAATGAGATTTTCCAGATGTGACAGTGACTAGAAATGTGTTTTTAGTTTCTACGATGCAGCGATGTTTATTTATTGTACAAGATTGATTGCAGAACACTGTTAAGAACATTTTACTTACAGACTTTGTCAATCATGGAATTTCTGTACTGTAGAGATTGCATAGATCTTTATTGAAAGGTTATCATTGCGTAGCTCAAAGTTTTCCTCTTAGTATAGAGCTTTTGTAAGGTTGATGCAATATGTCATTTTGAGAAAAGTGTTTTATTTATCTACATGTTTTCTCCGTTTTAATATGTACCAATACAATGGTTAAAATCTAGGTTTGTCATATTTATACGGTTCAGTGGTCAGAGGTTTATAATCTGAAAGAATATTTTGTGATTAAGATTGCCCTATTTACGCCTTCGAATGGACAGGTATGGCCATCAGGTACTGTGACTAATGTATTAATGAGGAGAGACATTGAGCAGGCCTTATGGTATAAGCCCAGCTATATGAATATGTTACAAGTATGATAGAAATGCTTTTGTGTTTGGTTATCAGTTCGTGGAAAAATGATGTTACAATGTTTTTTTTGTATGTGGTTGAAGGATTTCAATTAAGGTAGTTGTTATAAAACTGTTTTGTAAACTGTCATACATAGGGACGTTAGAAAGTATTCAAGATATCTCTGAACTTGTCACCCAGAACCGATAATAAACAAACAAGACTTCAGTAATTAGAAGGTTTTAACACACCTGGTCTGAAGAACAGGTGAACTAAATCTATGGCAAAGTTACTTTCTGTCATCCATTTTCAACTTAAAAAAGGAATCTTTTGGAAAACCAAAAGGTCTAGAGTTATAATGTTTAGGAAATAGGTACTCTTATGGAGTGCAACAAAGTTTCCTCATATAAGTGACCTTGACCTACTTTATAGTTGACAGAGGTTAGACATGTTGAAAACTTTAAATAACATTAAGGAACCATAAGGTCTAGAGCCATCAGAACATTTGATCACATTTGAACTAAAGGACTATGTATGGTTTGGACCTGTATTGCCCCCAAATGCATCAAAATTCAAAACCTTTAAATGAACTTTGAAATGACTGTTTCTTTAATTTCGAACACTTCCCAAATACTTTTATGAAAATATTTATTTATATTTCTAATTATTGTTGCCATGGTAACAAGTTCAAATTTGCATAAATTAGAAAAATTTGAATATTCAGTGAATATTGTGATATTTTGCATAGTTTTTCTCCTAGAAACTATAGAGCGCATACTCGAACACACTTATTATCAAAGGATAATGTTTAGGTACATGTAATACATCTTGAGGAGAAATATAAATTTTGTTCAAGAGTACGCTCTATGGTAGCTAAGAGAAAAACTAGGTGAAAACCTGTCAAAATTTACTGAATATTTAAATTTCAATAATTTATGCAAATACGACCTGGATACAATGGCAGCCAAAATTGAAAACACAAATAAATGTTTACATACCTAATAGTACTTGGGAAGTATTCGAAATTAAAGAAACAGTCGTTTGAAAGTTCTATTGCAGATTTATAATTTTGATGGATTTGGGGGCCAAAAATGGCCCAAACCATACACAGTCCTTTGCTGTAAATCTTCCTTTGGACTAGGGAATCAGTTTTATTTAAAGAAAGAATGTTGTACCCCTGGGTGCTGATTGATGTAACTCAAAATGGGGAAATATTTGCAGTTGCTCAGTTATCCAGTTGAGTGATACAGGTTCTCCTGACCTCTTTGTGTCATTCGGATGAAATATCTGTTTTAATTTTACCTTGATGGTTTTTAGTGAACATCGTACCATTGTTTCAGTATTTGTTTGGAAAAAAACCCAGGAAAATATTCAAATAAATGGAAAAATATATGTCGCTATCACTGTTTTAAAGTAATGAAAAGGTTTTGTACAGATGTACGTTACTGTAGTCATTCAAAAGTAGAACAAATCTAAGTACATGTCAAGTGATTTGAGAGTATACATGTATCTAGTCTTCATGTGTATCACATTCCCTCCCAACTCCCATGAGATTTATAATGTGGGCCAAAGTAAGGAGCTAGTGGTCACTTGAGATTGGAAATAGTTGGCATGGACACTTGAAGGAACATCTTAGTGTAGGCTGTGCCTGCTTACTGTCACATTCTTTGGATACTTACATACTTTATATGTCCTGTGAGGATTTCTCTACACCCTTATATGCTCTGTTTTATGTTTTGTCCTCCGACTCATTCGTTGCATTCTGTGTATTTTTATTCACAGGAAGCCAAAACCCCAAAAACCCAGAGTTTTACTGCATGGTATTACAGAATATATACGAAAAATGTTAATTTCATTTCGTCAATCTGGGATTGGTGCATAATGTCTAGTACGTATATACATGGTCTTTGTTTTTATCTAAGTTAAGTACATGCACATCAAAAAGATGCTAAACGGATGCAAAATGCTTTACAAGCAGAAAGCAATTAAATTATAGGTAATTATCTCCCTTGATGGACACTTTCCATACAGTAACAGTGGAAATTTCTGTGTTTTGAAATATTAACATTATATCTCTTTAAACTGATCTTAGAGTGGACATTTTCTCTTTTTTAATGGTTCTGAAATCTATATATTTCAAATATCTGTAATCTGTAAAATCTGTAAACATTCACTTATGGACATTTTCTCGCTTAATTACTTATGAATGCAAAAATGTGAGCATAATACCTGAACTCCGCAAAAAAGTTCACTTTTACATTACATCTACACGACACAAAATAGGTTTCAGAATGTTCATAAGGTTAAAGGTTGAAGCTGGAGCTCCTGATCTCCAGTCATTCTTGTTATATGTATATTTTCCTTTTTTACATGTGCATTTACCTAATTTTCTCTGCTGATTTTGGAATACTTCCCTCCATCCAGCTTCTGAAAATTGTAGATATTTTCTCAAAGTCAGATTGAAAAATGATAAATGGAAAATGTAAAAAGGACATAAATAATTTTTTAGTTACCTCTGAAGTTTTGTGGAATGTATCTCTAATAGCCATCATTTCAAAATTGTGGAAATGTGATATGCTTTTAGCGAACAAAGGGTACAGTGTCATCTTCAAATAATTATCTTGTTCACCCATTTAAATCATTGTCAGTTTCATTTCATTCACTTTTATTGTGTAAATGTGGTTTTCACTTGACTCAAACATAACTACCAGTAGATCCCTGTGGCTACGATGTGTCCGAATGGAAAGTTTTGAAGGGAAATTTGGTTTGTGACAAAGTTTGACAGGCGGGCTCTATTGATATTTAAGACATGAACCTCATGGAGTAGGAGGGGGCCATTGTTTGATGGGCGGGACACACAGATAAAACCTCTGACGTTGAACAGGTATGGAAGAATACCTGAGGTTTGTACCCATGGGCCATTAATATCGACCTGGCCTGCTTGAATGTTGACTTTTGTCAAAATTTCACAGATGAATCCCCCGGGGGTGAAAGGTCATTCGCAGGAGAGTTCACGACCTTTTGTTAACAGTATTTGAGATGTCCCTAGCCTGACCAGAGATTTGTTATAGAGATCTATTGAGGTGAATAAAGACCTCAATTATTGTCAATCATTGTGGGCTAACATTGAGTTAAGTACTCTCTGATCCTTTTAGATCCCTGTACTTGTGTTCAGATAGGTAACTTCGATGAGAAACTGATGTACTGATTCGATCTCTATACAGGAAAATAATCACAATATATTTAATTGGCCGTTATGTAGGGAAACCGCACAGTACTATGTGACCAAGCCCCTTGTCAAAGGGGTGATCGTTTCCAATTTTGCGGCTGGGAGATTAAACGCTTTACATAGGGTCTTCTCTGGATCAATGATCAACTACAGTGTCAATGGACCCGAAAAATTCTACAACCAACCACAAAACAATTACGAACATGTATGCTTCAAGATGTGAGGGGG